AAAAAAAAAAGGCGGTGCCTTTAAGAGTAGCAATTTTATATTAAAGCCATTGATTTCATCAAGATATCTATGATTATTATCACTCCTGTCACCAAGCTGCTCAACCCAGCACAGTCTCATATTTAAGTCTAAAATCCCAATATACAATGAAAGGTGTAAGAGAAACACATCTGACTTGATGCTTACAGCACGAACCCCAAAAGCCTTCAACAAAATACGGCAGAACCTTCTAGAAAAACTACATGATGCACAAAATAGAAACTAAAGATACTAGAGCTGCCAATGAAATGAGACGAGTGATAGGAAATGCTCAAAACAAGACTACTTTTGCTGGAGAAGAAAACCTTGCCATATGAAGACAAGAAGAGCCAGGACACATACTCCAGCTACACAAAGTACCTTAGAGATCTTAAACTCTTATTCAAATCATTTCTCTATTAAGAAGGGCTTAAATCTTCCATGTCACCTTCCTCTCTTGAAAGATACACCTTCTAAGTGAACAAAATCACGTGACAGCTACCACATGGGACTCGAACTAATAATCCATCAGAATTTTAAGCTACATTTCCAAAAACAAGAAGCGAGCACACTCAACTGTTGCTCCAGTAAACAAGAAACTCACAATACCTACTTACTCCTACAGAGCTCAAAAGTTTTAAGAGCATCAATAGGTCATCAACACAAAGAAGTTGCCCTTGGACCTTGAGAATACAGGACCAAAAGCCAAAATTCTTACTTTGCCCAGGGACAGGACAGAGGAGAAACTAAAGGGAGTAAGGCACAGTTTACAAAACAGAGAGACAGTATCTAAACATAGTTTAGGCAACTATGAAAATCACAATTACATGAAGAGAGTCACAAAAGCATTTTCTGCCTTTAACTGTAACAGTTACCTGGCTGACTGTATTGATCTTCATAAGCATCTAACCAATAAAATCTTAAGACTTGATCATCATTTTCCCCATTCACAAGTGGAAGGAGGTTGGGATCCAGCTGAACTTCTGTCGCCACTAGATCAGCTTCATCCTCATCAACTCTGTCCCAGCATGAGACATCTGGGAGTGAACAACTTCTGCAGGTTTTGCAGAAAAAAAGGAGAGAGAAGTAAAATTATGCTTTATTATAAACACTATTTTTTTCAGTCCTGTATTCTCACAACTTTTGTCACTTGCCAGCTACCAAGTAATATTCCAAACAGTTGTGTTTTTTCAGCTTTCTTTTGAAGAGAAGGGTGGAATGTGAGAGAGAAATACATGTACATGTGTAGTTCTCAGTATCAGCATACATGTTTAGATGTTTTAAAATTTAAATTTATGAAATATAGGATGCAATAGTCTTCCAAGTAAACAAAGTGAACAAAAAATTCTCTTTCCAAAGGCATACCTCTTCACTACATGAAACTACATCTAGCTACAAATAACATCATGTAATATCTTCACAGTTACTTAGAGTTAAGTATTGTTAGCAATATATACGCTAGTTCCCCAAAACATGAAGTATTTTCCAGTTAAGTAGATATCATTAGGTTGTACATGACTGTTTTTAAAGCCATGACCAAAAAGAAAATAAAAATTACAGAACATTATGATTCCGTCTATGTCACAGATGTCCCATGACAAATATAAATAAGCTGAATCTGAGACTTGTAATTAACAAAGATCCTTACAGCACAGATGTCTCTCTCTTCACAGATTCCAGTTGCCCTGTCTGCTTCTTTTCCATTTCCTTGTCTCTATTCAAGTTTTCAGCTGCCTCAGGTTTAGTTTCCACATTTTCTGCTTCCATAGGTTCATCAAAGTCCTCCTCATCAAAATCCATCGTTCCTTGATCATCATCTGGAAGTGCTGCACAGAGAACCAGAGGCTTGAATCATTAAAACTACATACTAGCTTGCACACCATATACACAAATGTGATATACAAGATTAAAAAAAAAAATACTACATTTAAGTTACTTAAACTACGGTAAACTAAAAACTGTTTTAATACTAGTATACTATATTAAAAGAGCTTCCAGAACTGGGCTATATTTTCAATACCTTCAATAGTTTCCTCTTCTGTTGCCTTCACTGCTTCTCCATTTTCTGTAACTCCTGAACTATATTTGGTATCCTCATTCTCTTTAGAGACTGTAACAGATTTTGCCGTATAATTGGGATGCTTAGGACGGAATGAAGCCGTAGGAAGAGCTTCCTTCTTACGATGAGCAGGAACATTTCTTGATACAGGGCTGATTACCTGAAAGACATTTTAGCCAAAAAAAAATCTTTAAAAGTGCAAAAAGGAAAAACATTTGACCGTTTACAGAACTAGCTTCCATGGCTGGAGGAAAAGTCCCACATATGCTGCAACATGACAGTCCAAAACCCTCAAGAGTAAACTAAGTTCTGCAGCATCACATCTGCTGTGCAGTGCACATCCCTACTGTCATTCAAAAGAAGTTTACAACAAACAATGGTTGACATGTGATTAAGATTCTCCCTATTTTCTTTATTCTTCCTAAGTAGTACGACCCCATTCCTAAATTACAATCTCTGTTTTTGTCAGCTGAATGTGTGACAAAATGTGTCAGCCAGGGATGGGGCCTGGAACAACTGCAGAAGGCTAATACAGAAATGCACACCTGGTCATACTGGCCACGAAAGGGAGTAGAAATGAGAGGGCTACTTCACTGGATTTCTCGTGCTGTAGACATGATAATGGAAGGAAGGAAAACAAACAAACAAAAAGCCTACATTTCAGCATGTTCTGCAAGCTTGACAAATGGAGTTCTTTACCCTTTTCCACACCCACAAATACTTTCTATTCTGTATTTCACTTATTCTTCCATCACCCGTTCTTGCCACACCGATATTTTATCATCTTTCTGCCTTGTCTCTTTTTGCCTAACTCACCTTCATGTGATGCGCTTCATGTGTGCAACACTATGAAAACAGTCTTACCTGCCAAGTGCTAACAGCTAGCCTACCCTATACTACCACTTTCCTAAAAAGATAGGTATAAAAAGAATTTTCTTAATGCATTACTTTGGAGAAGAAAGGAGAATACACAAAGTTATACAGTAGCTCAGCTAAGGAAGCTAATGATAAATATAATTTAAAGAAGTAAAAACAAAAGACAACAGTATCTCAAATTAACAAATACACAGATAAAATTTAGTAATGAGATTTTTTTTTTTTAACTTTACCTTATGAGTCTGGGATGGTACAGAGAAAGGATTCAGGGGCACTCCGGCAGATCTTTTCCTTTTCAGTATTATAACTGGTGGTGGACTTAGCTGGACAGTCTGAGTATTGTAAGAAAAGAGACAGTGACATAATGAACAGAGGCTGTTGAAGAATTCTTTTTGCCCTGGTTGGTAACATCTTCAACAAATAAAATCACCAATGTTTCTCCTTTCCCAAACTAATGTAGATCTCACAAAGTACCACTTAATGCATGAAGAAAACACCACAAAGGTATCTGAGACACAGAGGAAACGACTAGAGAAAGTCACCTACTTTCTAGGGAAGGAAATGCCTAGAGGAAGTGCCCACCTTCAAGCATTTACAGAAGAACCTTGTTAAGCAAAGTTCTCTGAGAAATCAGCCCCTGAAAGATGCCACTAGGCCTTTTAGTAAACAGCTTGAGAAAATGAATGGAAATAGCCTTCAGACAGTGCAGCCTTGGCGGTGGTGGCAGCCATCCTGCAGCCCTAACTCGGAGAGCACATTAACTTGGTTCTCAAGAGCAAGCCACGGAAAGCAGGAAAGGCAGGCACAGCCCAGGCTGCACTGCCTGCTTGAACAGCCCTCCCTCATCCGCTCTGCGGAACCCAACCTTGCCAGATGGAGCTATCCCACAGGATACTTGCTGGCTATATGCACACATGCCACACTCTGGGCAGGTGCAAATGAGTCTTCTTTCACTCTAAGCTGACAACAAGCTAGAAGCCTGCCTTAGCCTAGGCTCAGTGTCAGGCTGGTATAAAGTGTCCCTAATCAGGGCACTTCACTGCTGGCTTATCAAGCTAATGTAGCCACAAAACTTCCACGAGCAGGAAAGGACAAGCCAACTGCATACACACATGCAATATACTAAGCTATACTACAATACAGATGAAATCAAACCGTATGAAATCAGGCCGATGGCCCAGTCACATGAAGACTTTTGCTCAAAAAAAGGAACAGGTTAAAACGTTACATTTTTTTTTTTAATATACTTACTTCCGCATTTAGATCTTGAAGAATATCCCCTAGTAAATCATCTTTTGACAGGTCCACAGTTTTCTGGAAGATAACGGATTATTAAATAGTTCTTAGGAGATGAGCAGGAGACTGGCAGCCAAGGGCCTTCTACAGACAGGCACACAGATTTTTGGGAGTGCTGTTAGGAGCACAACAGCTCCTAACAGGAACTTACATATTGCCAGACATGAGCAACCACAATTAGCATTTGCTTCACTCCCACTAAATCAAACAACACAAACATGTTTAAAATCTTATTAATTTAAAAATGCAGTAACTTACATCTGTGTTTTTCTTCCCAGCACTGGCTATGAACATAGACTTAATTGTGTTTGGCTTTGATACCACAGGTTTCTTTACATTCTTTCTATCACTTGTAGATGTTCTGCCACCTTTTCCTACAGAAAAAAAAATGTAAATACGTACTTTATATATTTTTTAAAAATGTTAATAAATACAGTTATTAGCAGAGATAGTCAGCTGAGGTTCCCCACTTACTCCACCTTTACACTGCAGACTGCAATAAAGACTAAAAATCTTTTGTTTGCTGCCGGGTTTCTCATGGCTGCTTTGCACAAAACAAAAACAACACACACACACACAAACCCACACACGCACACAAAGAAAAAAGAAAAAAAATACAGAAACCTACCAGCATGATACATTGCCTTGTCACCTCAGAGATTAAATTTGTGCCCCCATGTTCATATCCCCCAGATAAAGGACAAAGATATTCCACATGAAAGTATGTGCAGAAGGGCAAGAGTGTCCAGGAGTTTGGCACTACCCTCAACACTCTCAACATCTGACTCAATTCCTCAGTCCTCACTGGCAAAAAAAAAAAAAAAACACCCATCCCATAGGCACCAGCTTTAGAAGGCAAGAATGAGCCCAGAAGAATTTATCCCAGAAGACAGTACATAACCTACCACGCACTGTGAACAAGATTGCCCTGATAGTGCTAAGCCTACCCCACACGGAGATCAAACCACCTCTATCTCCTCCCTCATGGAGGGGGCTGAACAATATCCAGTGGCAGGGAAGCAACTACAGAGCTTCAAGTTAACGGGCTGTTTGGCTATATTCACCACGCACTAATACCAAGAAGTTGCCCATTTATAGTACCTTTTAAAATCAGTTGGAAGACTTTCTACAATGGTTATGTTCAACCTACCTTTCTTGCTGGAAACAAGAGCATCATCATCTAGATCTTCATCAAAGATTTCCCTTCCATCTTCTACATAGCCTATCCCAGCTGTACAAAAAAAAATTGTTAACAATTGCATTTCTAATTCTGTCTGGCGATATTTCTAAGCAGTATCTTCATAACTCAAAGTACCACAAACTTAAAAACTGATTTTTCTTTTATTTAATAAAAATGTTATGTGTTTAAAATCACAGCACTCTCAGCTATATCTTTTATTAGAGTACGTGTATTATGTGCTTAGTTAGAAATTATCAATTATAGTATTTCTTTTGTAAGTTTTATCACTAATAGATGTTTTTGAAAATTTGTTTTCCAGATTTATTTCTATTTATGGTAAAATATTTTAACCACTATCCTAATACATCCTTAAGAGAAGAGTGCATAAGACTCAATGCCATATAAAACCTCATCATTTTTGTACCTAATAAAATAACTTCAGGAATGCACTGAAACATAATTTACCTCAAAACATGAAATTTATGAAACCCTATTGAGCTTGTAATGATAGAATTAAAATAACTCTGCTGATGACGCTTAACTTACCATCATCAACAATCCAGTCATCATCCTGCCGCTCTCTGACCCTCCTGGAGTATTCCTCTTCATCTATTTCATCATAAACACCTGTGAACTCCTCAACCTAGAGTTAAGTATTGATATAAGAATTGTTGGTATTTAATGCAAAATATACATTAATTTTGGTTATTGGCAAGAACCTCCTGAGAACTCCAGAACTTCCTACACCATTAAATTGCCCACAAATAGCAAATGCAGTTTTTCACTCAGTCAAAGTTTATTTTTTGGCAATGACAAAAGATCTGCTCTCAGTTTTTCAGATGATCACAGAACATTGAGGCTCAAATTCCACTGAAACACTGGCAAAGATTTCACTAGAAATGGACTTGCTTCATTGCATATTTCACATGATCAAAATCTAAACCCTGTCAATGGAGAGTTCTGACCTTTGGCTCCATTCTCAAGCAGAAAAGGAAGGTGATTTGAAATGCCCAACAACAATGGTAAAGAGGCTCTCCTGCATCTCAGGATAAATCTGCCTCTTATGGACCGTTCCAAGCTTCTTCAGGCTCACCCACTTCAATGTGGAAGTCATTTCCTCTGGGCACTGCTATCCAGTTGGCTAAATTCATTGCCAAATGGTACTTCTGTCAGTTCAGTACTCAAATTTCATTTTCTTTGTGGAAACATGGTATAATAATATCAAAGCTTTTTGTCAGATATTGACAACTGAAAATCATTTGAAACTTAAAATCATTTGGAGTTTTTTTAGAAAAGTAGTTGTTATCTATCAATTAAGCAATGAAATTCTAATGGTTAGTCTTTAACTGTGGGTTAGCTATCAAGTGATTCAATGTATGTTTGATTTGCAGTTATTACAACTAGTTTTGAAAAGAGAAAGAAACAAAGGTGTGATATCAGAAAGTAGCAAACCAACTAGAGCTTTATTCTAAAATACATATCTCATTAAAAAAAAAGTGACCTGAAAGGCAAATTTTCACTTCCTATGATTTTAGATGCATATACAGGGTATGAAGCACCTCAGCTCATACATTAATATTCCCCAAATTAATTTTTTATTAAGGAGACAGGACATTTTCACCTCGTATTTTATTTTTTCACCAGCTTTGGCTTTTTTCAGACGTTCCAGGGCTTCTTGATGACCTCTTCTAGACCTTTTCTCACGTCTTGAACGGGATGTAGCAAAACTTTCAGATTCGGCCATAGCTGAAATTAATCAAAAACAAGAAAAATAAGTTTAGCAATGAACTGCTGCTGTGTTTGGCAGCTAAGCGTTCAGCAAGGCACTGACAGATGTTCCCTGCATTACCTAAATTCTAAACAGAGATTTACATGAGAAGGGCTTAACATGTGTTGTACCCTCTGCTATAAGCAGCGTCACGGATTGTTCTTGATAAGCCAATTCTGCAATTAAAATGAGGACGCGGTCTCAGAGGGTTACAGAGCACAGACAGGCTTGGTGACAGGTCACGCTCAGTAAGTTTGGAAACCAAAAAAATGTGCGGAAATACATATATATGTGCGCGTGTGCCTCCCAGGTTCCCACAGCTCCTCTCGGATCTCATGACCCGCTCTCCGAGCCGGATGCCCCCCACCTTCCGCCAGGAATCTCGCGGCTCCCCGCATTTTGCAGGTCTCCATGACAACTCGGCAGCAGGCGCAGGGCCCGCGCTGCTGCGGGGCTTCCCACGCAGCTCCAGCGCTCCGGGCGCACGGCCGCCTCCTCCACGACACCCGCGCGGGCACCATCAACCGGCTGCCAGAGCGGCCGCTCCGCGCGGGCCCGGCGAGCCCCCCGGAGCCCCACAGGGGCAGGCCAGGCCCTCCTGGCAGCAGGAAGGGGGTCAGGCTGCTCCTAAAGCGCACGCTGAGCCCGAGCAACAAGAACCTGGATTGCTCAGGGCTAGGCAGGAGAGGAGGATTTCCTGTGAGCCGTGCCAGGCACACGGAGCCCTGCTAGGACGCGGGGCTTTGGCTGCGCTGGTGCAGGCAGGGCAGGCCCCTCGGTTAATTCCTCGAGATAGCTGGAAGGAAGCACGCAAGGTGGCACAGAAATACCGGGCCTAAAGAAATGCCATTTTGCTCTTGGGAGACTCTGCAAACACAACCCTGGCTGCACACGGCCGGGGCATTTCCATTTTCTGGGAGAACCGGGCAGGAGGGTAAACAGAGGGTGTTTAGCTCGGGAGAGTCCGCTCCGCTCGCACCACCGAGCTGGGGACAACCCGGGGCGAGTCAGCCGGGGTGGGCACAGCACAGGCCGCCGCGGCGGGGCCGGCCCTAAACCAAAAGGAC